TGTTCTGCTTTATTAATTTCTTTTGAAATCAATTGTTTTTATGGTATGTGAACACGAATATATGAATATGTCCCCCCCCCTCCCCAATTATCATTCTGGCTACGGCACTGCCAACCACTTAGGGAAGGTGGAGCCCGCATGTTACGTTTGGGTTTAGAACGTAATACGTAATTTCCAGTATTCCCAAAGACAAGGAGATTGACGGTGTATAATGAACTGGTAGTTCTAATGCACACATATAGTTTGTAGACAAGAAAATTTTATCTGTTTGTCTATAATTTTGGACAATATAATCGAAGTATTCTGCTGTGTAAGTCACGTCGTTCGCGCCATGTTGGGCAAATTTAGGAAAAAATAGATTCCAAAGAATAAGCTATGGAAATTTTCGACTTTCCTAATTCTTTGGATTCTGTTTTTCCATATAACTACAGTTTTTCTTATCTATTTTGTGTACGTACCTAGTGTGTAATATGAACGTGTTTTTAGTGTTTATGACCTGATTTCTATATAGTTTATGGTCTTTTTGTTGTCTTAATCAACCAATCACAAAGCCTGTTTATGTAAGCATGGGGCGACCCATATTATTTGAAATTGTCAGTGGGCCGTGGTTTTCGGTTGCATTTTCAAAGTATTTTGCTTTGTTGCAATTCAATTTTCATCCAACATGACGAAAACCCCTTGAGATTGGTTGCACACCTAATAAGTATTTTATATGGAATCTATTTTCTGTTTGTGATTATTGGAATTCATATATATACCTGCTGTGTGATAGTAGAAACAGACATGGCTTTGCATTTCATATCCCTCTGAATGGAGGAGGTAAGAATTGTGTAAAAGTTTGGGATGCTACTGCGTACAACACCTAATCCTACTTTGTTTTCCCAGCTTTGGTACAAAATTACCTTATATTAATAAAAATCACCTTGAAACCGCTTCACTAACAGCTCACTTAAGATTAATCAAGGAAGACTACAATATACCTGATCCATTTTACTGTTGTTTATATTGTTGTTTTGATATTCTTTGGAATTAAACTGATCTTATTTTTCATGCAGTATCACCTCGAGGCTGCGCTGACAGCTCACTTGATATTAATGGAGGAGGTAAAGTACACTGATGATCTGGTAAAGTATCGTATGACATTCTTTCGATATTATCTGAACTACAGTATATACCTGATCCTTTTTCTGTTGGTTATTGTTGAATTTTATTTACTTTGGGAGTTAACTGACATTGTATTTCATGTACAGTATGACCTTGAGGCTTCTTTGCTATTAATTCACTTAGTCCTGACGGAGGAGGTAAAGTATCATATGAAATTCTTTGTACACTACTATCTGAACTACAATAAGATAAAGAGTGTAAAGTTCATACAAAAAAAATCAAGAAAGGTGAAGAATGGAAACAACATGATGATGTTGAAGGTGATGCTCGTATGTGCGACATGGATCCATCCGCTAGCAATGAACGCGTCAAGAAGAAAAGAAGTCGGAAGAGTGGAACTTTGAGTCAGGATTGTGCTACAATGGCAAATGGTAGCAAAGGATAGTATAGCCATTTACGAAGATAGTGAAATGAAAGAAGAACATGATATAAAGCAGTTTCTGAGCGAATGCGTGGAAGACACGAGCAAAACTGGGAAGAAGGTAAAAGGTAGGAAACGGAAAGGTGTTACTAAAACTGGTAGTGAAGAGAATATTCCTACGCTAACTGAAGATGTGAAATCCATAAAGAAGAGAAAACGAGGCAAATCTAATGGAAACAAACTATGTGTGAAACTCAAAGGGGGTGATACTGTTGATAAACATAGCAAAAAGAAAAAGAATAAATCTGTTGTCCAGGACAGCAGTGAGATAGCACCAGTAGGAAATGAAAATGATGTGAAAGATAAATTATCCAAAGAAGCAGAAGCGTCAGGAAATAAAGGGTCAGACGTTATGAACATCACCCGCGATTCTTCAGACGGATCGTATTTAAGTACACTCCGGAAACAGGCGCAAAATGTGACATCTTTGGTGGGAAACGTTGTCAAAACCGAAATATTTAAGGGTCTTTAAGAAATCAACTTTGCAAGATACAAATAACACGAAGAGGAAAATTAAAGATACGCCAAGAATTGTTTCGAGTGCAGATAGTTTGTGTCAATCTGATTTGGGCTTAGCTGCTGAAACAATTATTGAGACACCAGAGGAAGCCACCGAAATTGCAAAAGGTGACGATATTAATCTGACTCCTGACTCGATGCCATTGGCCGTGTTTCTTCGCCACGCACAGAAGAAGGTAACTCAGGAAAGAAAAAAAAATGATAATTACACAAATCGTAAGAACACAAATCGTAGTACAGTAATAAAATGGATAGAGTGCAGTATGGGAAGAAAGCACTATAGGTCTAGGGAATTGTTGAACGATTATTGAAATAGCAGGATTTCGGGTATCTCACTTGTAATACATTGACATTGACATTGACAAGTTGGACACACGCCCAATTGTCTAGACATAACATGTCATCACGTTTATAATCGATAAATATACTCATTGTGAGTTCAACGTTAATGGCGTAACACTGTTTATTACATGGTGTCAGGAGAAACTACAATCATGGAACATATGAAGCCTATGGGTCCTTTAAAAATGGACGGAAATGTGGCAGAAAACTGGAGGAAATGGAGACAACGCTGGAATCTTTACGCAAAAGCCAGTGGAGCCGACGGAAAAGACGAATTAAGAGATTCAGTGTGCAATTTTCCTTCACACAATCGGAGAAGAAGCATTGGAAATCTATGATACTTTCACCTTTACTGAAACTGAACAAGATAAGATCGAGCCGCTCATTTAGAAATTTGAGAGCTACTGTACACCAAGGAAAAACACGACATACGAGCGATATATATTTAATACGTGTGTACAAAACGGAAGAAAACTCAATGCATTTATACTTGACCTTCGCAACAAAGCAAAGACCGTTGGAAAAGGCGAAATCCCGCAAAACTTAGCTACCTACTGGAACATTCGCCATGAGCTGAGTGAAGCAGAAGGTCTGATCTTTAAAGACCACCAGTTAGTCATACCTACAGCAATGAGAAGCAATATGCTCAACCTGATACATGAAAGTCATCTCGGGATAGAGAAATGCAAAGCACGCGCAAGAGCAATCCTTTTTTGGCCTGGAATGTCAAAAGATATCTACGAGAAAGTATCAAAATGTGCTACTTGCGCCACATATAGAAGAAGAAACCAGAAGGAACCGATGATAGCACATCAAATACCTAAACCGACCATGGCAAAAGCTAGGAGCTGATCTGTGTGAATGTAAGGGCAAGAATTGCCTCGTTGTAATAGATTACTATTCGAAGTTCATCGAAACAGCCCTTCTTCCAAACAAGACAGCAGGAACAGTAATTAGACACTTGAAATCAATTTTTGCCAGACACGGAATCCCAGAAGAGTTGGTATCCGACAACATGCCCTTCAATAGCAAAGAGTTTGACGAATTCGCCAAAGAATGGGGATTCAAACAAACAACATCAAGCCCAACCTATGCTCAATCAAACGACATGAGTGAAAAAGCTGTACAAACCGTAAAACGGATCCTGAAGAAGGCTGACGATCCATACGTTGGTCTGATGGAGTACCGTAACACGCCTGTTACCGGAATGACATACTCCCCATCACAACTGCTGATGAGCCGCACCACAAGAACGAAGATTCCGATATCCAAAGAGTTACTACTACCAGCAGTGCCAATCAATGCACAGCAGCAGCTTGAACAACGACAGAACCAGCAGAAGCAGAACTACGACAAATCAACCAAACCATTACCACCACTTGAAATTGGAGAAAGCATCCACCTACGCCAGGACAGTATCTGGGTACCAGCCACCGTATCTGGACTGGCCCCTGCCCCAAGATTGTATATCGTCGCAACATCAGATGGACAACAATACAGACGTAACCGTCGTGACCTTTTAAAGACCAATATTCCGCCTTCAACCATAATAGAGCAAACTGAGGATGTTGGTGAAGAACAACCGACCATTATTACACAACCACCAGATTTAGACCTCCAGAATCCACCTAATCAGGGACGACCAATGAGAACCACAGCGCTACCAATAAAATACAGAGACTATGTCATGAAATGAAATAGATTTAATCAAACTTTGAGATACTTGCAACTTATCCTGCCTATAATAACTGGACTATTATTATCTATAGATAAATACGGACACGATTATTCGAACAGTTATTGACATTGACAAGTTGAACACACACCCAATTGTCTAGACATAACATGTCATCACGTTTATATTCGATAAATATACTCATTGTGAGTTCAACGTTAATGGCGTAACACTGTTTATTACATCACTAGCCTCCTGCGCAGACGTTGTTGAGGCCTCGGCCACTAACAACGTCTGCGCAGGAGGCTAGTATCTCATTCGATAGAACTCAGTTCTATGAAAACCAATTCAATGAAATACAATTAGTAATTGTTGAAGGGAGATTCGTAGATGGAAATTTCGAGTGTAATTTTCATACATGTATTAGACCTAACCAGGAGTATTTGCGAAAAATGCAACTATAGGCCCTCCGGAACCTGGGGCACTGCGATTCCGGTACAGCGCTCTCACACTGAGCTACAGAGTCCAGTTGTCGAGCTTTATAACCACAATTATAATACTAAGGTGATACCAATGTATGGTGTACGTATAATAATTACACTCGAATTTTCTATCTACAAAATCCCTTCAGCAATTAGTTATTGTATCGAGTGACATGCCTGCATGCATATGAAGTCCTGACTTCATATGCAGGCATGTCACTCGATACAATAAGTAATTGCTGAAGGGATTTTCTAATTTGTAGATAGAAAATTCGAGTGTAATTGCTGCCGAAGGCAGCCTTCTATTCTTGACGATGTGTTATAGCGCATTTGAATTTCTCGCCAAATGAAGTATCGCGTTTACTTGTGTCCAGTCTCTTTGCCCGAGCTATGTATTGTCGAGATCTCGATTTTGTGTCTGTCTGTCTGTCTGTCTGTATGTAAAGATGTCGTAATTCCGGGGAAATAATTAAGGCTTCAGAAAGTTTTTTTAAACGAGGGGGGCGGTCAAACTTTATTTTGTATTGCACACGGAGCAAGTTCTTCTCATTCAAGGACAGTTACGAGCCAATATTTACATTTTCATGATGCAAAACATGGACAATATTTTCAATAATTCAGGTAAGGATAGCTTTATTTCTTTTTGGT